CACAATCAACAACACCAGCGAGAGCACCAGCAACAACTACAACAACAGCAACAACACAAGAGAGACTGAGGGGCTAAGCGAGAGCGAGGGAGAGAGAGAGAGAGAGAAACAAAAAGAGAGAGAGAGAGGGAGAGAGAGAGAGAGACACAGAGAGGCCCCGGCATCCGTTGATGACTTCTTTTCAGATACCTGCCCCCCAGAAGTCCTGATCCTTTTACTCAAGGTAGATACTTCACCACGGGCTCGCCGAGGGCCCAAGGATGCCTAAAACAAGGGAAACCGACTGCGTTCCGATTACCTGCGCAGCTTGTTTGTGAGGCTGCTATCTGATTCTTCTTGAGCCAGTGAGGTAGCAGGATCCCCTGAGATCGGCGGCCCGGCCCATCGTGGCCCCCCCAACCGTGGAACTGCTGGAAGCTGCCCCGGGTCTTCTTCGGTCGCTAGGGTACCATTGTGCCAATGGAGGAACAAGAGGAGGAGAAGGAGAAGGAGGAGGAGGCAGGAAGAGGAGGAGGAGGAGGAGAGGCAATCACAGTCGCTGGGGCCCCGTGAGGACCCCCAGGCCGAGGGCCGAAGGCCGCTGGGCGAGGAGCCGCGGGGGCCACCAGCCGGGCCGCCAGCCGGGCAGCCGGGCAGCCCAGGAACCAGAGGTATTTATGTAACATTAAATACCTCGCCCGCGGGGCCGCTGGGAAGGCCGCCGGGGAGGCCGCCGGGCAGTCCAGGCACGCCGCCTCGGACGCTGGACGAGCTCTACGCCAACTTTGCGGCGCTGCTCGAGGAGGACTTGTGCGGCTGCTTCGACATGGAGCAGGAGGACCTGCGGAAGCATGCGGGACGAGGAGAGCCAGCCCGCTTCCAGGAGGGCACCATCAGCGCCAGCTGCCGCAGGGCCTACGCCAGATGCTCCCCGCAGGCGCGAGCCTGGCGCAGGATCGCGGCGCTACTCTGGGAAGCGCTGGCCAGCAGGCGCCGCCTGCGGGCGCCGCACCTCGTCCCGAGGGAGCTGGCCGCGCTGGCAAGGCTGCAGGCCAAGCTCGGCAGGCTGGCCGCGCAGGACTTGGTCGGCGACATCGGCCTGAACGAGGCCCAGAAGGCGAGCAGGCAGAAGGACCTTGAGCGCCAGTTGCGCGCGACGGGCGCCATGACCTACTGCCAGCTGAGGTCGCTGGAGGGCTACGCTAGGCAGGCCGCCAAAGCGTTCGACCTCAGGGATGCCAAGGGCCGCGCCAAGGCTTGGAGAGCCTGGCCCCAGGAGGCGGTGCGTGGAGGCGCAGGAGCCGCCCACGGCTTCTGCCGCGCTCCTCGGGGGTGGACCGCTGACGTGGAGACCAGCGGGCAACCCGCGGGCATTGCCGGCACTCTGGAGGCGCTGAAGACGGAATACCAGCAGGTGTGGCGGCACCAGCTTGAGGAGTTCGACCTGGAGGCGGCGCTCCCTGACGAGCTTCTGGATGACGCCCCAGGCCCGCCCTCGCCCGACGCCATCCGAGCGGCGGCGAGGACTTTCAAGGCCGCAACGGCGATGGGGGTGGACAGCCTCAAGCCGCACCACTTCGGCTGGCTCTCGGACCACGGCGTCCTCGCCCTGAGCCTGCTGCTCCACCTCATCGAGCTGAGGACGGAGTTCCCGTCGCAGGTGGCCGAGGTTTTCATCTTCTTCCTGGCCAAGGCCGGCGGGGGCTGGCGGCCCATCGGCCTGATCGCCTCATTGATCCGATTGTTGGGGAAGATCAGACACGACGAGGCGAAGCGCTGGGAGGCCGCCAGGGACAGGCCCTACTTCTTCGGCGGGGCAGGGCGCTCCTGCGAGGACGCGGTTTGGCTGCAGAGCTTCGACGCGGACCACGCCAAGGCTTTGAACTTGGAGGCCGCGTCATCGCTCCTGGACTTGAGTAAGGCCTACGAAAGGGTGTCTCATCGAGGGATGGTCCACGCCGCGGTGAGGGAGGGCTTCCCGCTGCGGAGGATCAAGATCCTCCTTCGGCTCTACGGGGGCAGGAGACGCCTCTGCTTGGATCGTTGGAAGACGGAGGCGTTCCAGGTCTCCCTGTCTCTGCTGGCGGGCTGTTCATTCGCCACGACACTACTTCGAGTGGTGCTGGTCAAGCCCCTCGACGCGCTGCTGGCGTCCTGGCAGATGGTGCGCCCGTATTTGGTGGTCGACGACATTACGCTGGCAGTCTACGCCAAGCGCGCGCAGGTCGAGCACATCTTGGTCGGCGCCACCCGCGCCCTCTGCTTGGACTTGGAGGACATTGGCTTCACCATCTCTTTGACGAAGGGCCAGGTGCTGTGCACCGACTCTGAGATCGCCAAGCGGGCCGTCTCCAGGCTCAAGCGTTGGAAGTTCACGCACGAGAAGGCCACAAAGAACCTGGGCGTGGACTTCACTATGTCGAAGTCGGCCTCCTGGAAGGTGCTGCGTCAGAGGATCAACCGCCTGAGCCAGAGGGCGGGACAATATAGGGCGCTCCGCAAGGCTGGGGCCAAGCGACTCTCCAAGGTCTTCAGGACGGGAGGATTAGCGTCCATCCTCCATGGCGCGAGGGTCAGCGGTGTGCCCACCAAGTCCCTGCAGCGCGCCAGAGCGATCAATGGCAGGGCCATCTCGGGCGAGGTCGGCCAGAAGTCCAGGACAGTCCTCTTTGCCCTGCAGGAAGGCAAGGACTGGCGTCACGACCCAGCCTTTGCGGCGCACGCCCTACCGCTGAGGGCCTGGGCTCGCGCCATCTTCTTGCGCGCCGCCAGCGGTTTTCAAAAAGGTGCTGGAGCGCAGGCCGGGCGACTGGGGCGAGGTCACGGGGCCAGCGGGGGCGGTCTGCCTCTCGCTGGAGCGCATTGGTTGGGAGATGATGGACTGGCATCGCTGGAGGGACGACCGAGGGCAGATCATCGACCTGCAGGTTCTCAGCCCGCGGATGGTGGCCAGCCTCGTCGAGCGAGGGGTCCATCGTTACCTCATGCTGAAGGTCGCGCGCCACAGCGGGGTTCGAGCACCTCGAGGGCCGCCCGCCTGACCTGGAGCCGTTCAAGGCGGCGCTGGCGGGCTTGCGGCGAGCAGGCAAGACGCAGGAGGCGGCGACGACCTGGGCATGGTGAGAGGGCTCCTCAACCTTGGGCTGGATCAGGCCCCGCCTCCAGGCATGGACGAGCTCTGCCACCGCGCAGGGCGCGCCAGGCAGGGCTTCCTATACGGCGTCATCTGCATCGATGGGTCTGCGATGTACCCTGACATCCTGTGCCTGACTCGTACGGGCTGGGCTGCCGTGATGGTGGATGACGTCGGGAACGTTGTCGGCGGCCTCTTCGGCCTCACGCCTGGGTGGATCCAGGAGATCGGCTACGCGGAGCTCTACGCGCTGTGCCGCGTCTTGGAGGAAGCGGGCCCTTCGCCCATCACGGTCTACACGGATTGCAAGGGGCTCAAGGACGACCTGGCGGCTGGCAAGGAGCATTGCTGTGGCCCTGGGCACAAGTACGCCGATCTTTGGAGGCGCGTGTGGAGGCTGCTGGACGACCTTGGCCCGGAGTTCCTCACGCTGAGGTGCCTGCGCTCGCACTCCTCGTGGGCCAGGGCGGTCGAGCACGTCTGACAGGCCTTCGCTGGCAACAGGGAGGCCGACCTGCGGGCCAAGGACGGTGCCCGGCTCCATCCTGGGCAGGCGCGGCTCCAGGAGCTGAGCCGCCGCGCTGAGGCCGCCACGGAGAAAGCTGTGGCCTGGTGCGGCCACCATGGGGGGGTCCTCAAAAGGCTCGCGGACCTTGGGTGGCCCGACCGCGGGGTCCTCCCTGGGCCCAGGGGTCCCGATCCTGGGGAGCTGGCTCTGGTCAGGCCCGACAGGGGCCACGTTCTGGCGAGGCTCGGGCGGGCCTGGGGCTGTGCCGTCTGTGGGATCCGCAGGGCTTCCAGTGCCAGGGTCGTCGCGAGCCCCTGTCCAGGACTCCCGTGGCTGGTCGCCAGGTCCCACCCATCCCATAGGCTTTGGGTGACTCGGGGTGGGGACGGGTCTGGTCGGGAGTCCTCTGGGATGGGTGGGTGTCTCGTTTGTTGTCGGACATGTGGGGCGCATGGGAGTCGTCAGGTTAAGCTCCTTGCCGAACCTTGCCTCCCTCTGTCTCGCAAGAGCCGCGACGCGGCGCGACTTGCTCGCCGCGCCCTCGAACGTCTGCGGGCGGGGCGTGTTCCCCAGACAGGCGCCCGCTGGGGCGGGACCCCTTTTCCTGTCTCGAGGGCTGCGGTGAGCAGGGTTTGAATTTCTTGTGTTTGCAACTCCCAGGACCCTCGCCTGCGCCAGGTCTTCTTTTCCTTCCCTGGCGGGCCCTGGGTTAGTCGTGGAGTTTGGATCCCCGGTCGGGGTAGAGGTAGGTTTGCTGAGCGGACCACCTCTTGGTAGGAACCAGAGGAACCAGAGGAGGAGGAGAAGGAGGAGGAGGAGGAGGAGGAGGAGGAGGAGGAGGAGGAGGCAGGAGGAGGAGGAGGAGGAGGAGGAGGAGGAGAAGGCAGGGAGAAGGCAGGGAGAGGGGGGGGGAGGCGACGAGCCCGAGGCGAGCAGACGGGGGGGCACCCCCGCGGGCCCGCACCGGAGGTCACTCTGGCAAAAGGGGCACTCCTCAAAGGCGCGGGGGCTGCCGAGAAGTCCCACCGCCTTCTGAGAGGGCCTTCTCCTCCTCACCTTGCCCCCCTCGCTCGCCGCCGATGGGTGGTCCAGGGAGAGGGATGGTCGGGGGCGGCCAAAAGGGAAGCGCCCAAGAAGGGGGGGGTGCAAATCATGGCCGGCGGCACGTGCGCGGCCCAGGGGGGGGGGCTGAGGACGTAATGTAATAAGAAGAGGCGCCATGACATCTGGGGAGAGATCATGGCCCACGCCGTGATCTCCCCCCCCCCCCCCCCCCCGTCATCACCCCCCTCTCTGCTGCCCCCGAGATGGGATGGAGAGAGACCGGGGGCGGGCACACAGGGGGGCAGAATGGGCTCCCCCTCCTCGCACCGCGCGCGCTCAGTAGCTGTCGCTGTCCGCGGCGGAGATCGGCGCAACGCCTCGGCCCAGCGCGAGCTGCGGGGGGGGGAGGAGGAAGAGGAGGAGGAGGAGGAGGAGGACGAGGAGGAGGAGGAGGAGGTGGATGTGGAGGTGGAGGAGGAAGGGAGGAGGAGGTGGAGGAGAGGAGGAGGAGGGAGGAGGAGGAGGAGGAGGAGGAGGAGGAGAGGAGGGAGGAGGAGGAGGAGGAGAGGAGAGGAGGGAGGAGGTGGATGTGGAGGTGGAGGAGGAGGAGTAGGAGGAGGAGGAGGAGGCGGAGGTGGAGGAGGAGGAGGAGGAGGAGGAGGAGGAGAAGGCGGAGGCGGAGGAGGAGGAGGAGAAGGAGGAGGAAGGGGTGGATGTGGAAGAGGGGGAGGGGGGAAGGGCGCGGCCGAAGTCCGGCCGTTCGGCTACGCGCAGGAGCGACCCCGGGCACGCGAGTGACCTCTGGTGCGCGGCTTTTTCGGGGGGGCGCGGGGCGGCCAGACACCAACACAGCAAGGCGCTGCCATCGCACCGCGCTGGGCCATCGGGGTACCTCCTGTGGGCCCGCACGGGAGGAAGCAAAAACGGCATGAGCATCATCTTGTGGAAGTCCGCGCGGGTTTCTTGGATCCGCGCCTGGATCCTTCCTCCCTGGCGTGCTGAGCGCGCCAGGGGCGGCGCGCTGAGCGCGCCAGGTGCGGCGCCGCCAGGGGGGCCCAGGCGCCGATCCAAGAGACCCGCGCGGGCGAAAGTTTATGTTTATGCTGTTTTTCTGCTTCGATCGGGGATCTCCAGACCCGGGTACATCAAGGCCTGGGTCAGTCAGGCCTTGCAGGATGCTGCAAGATCCTGCAAGATCCTGCGCCCAAGCCCAGGTCAGTCAAAGCACCCTTGGCCCTGCAGGATCCTGCAAGATCCAGCGCTCTGAATGGCCTCCGTTTGCATTGACCCCTCTCTTGAGCCCCGATTCGACGCACCACAGGTCACTCCGGCGAAGAGTCCCTGTGACGTGCAGTCGAGCGTGGGCGAGGGGGCCCCTGCCCGGTGCGCTGGGCCCCCGGCCTGTTCAAAAACGGCTCGGGGTCTGGCCTCTGGAACCTGCTTTTGTCGTTATTCGCGATAACGGGCGTGATTGGGAAAAGCCTCCTCCTCCTCCTACTCGTCCTTCTGTTCCTCCTCCTCCTCCTCCTCCTCTTCCTCCTCTGCCTCCTCCTGCTCCTCTCCTCTTCTGCCTCCTCCTCCTCCTCTTCCTCATCCTGCTGCTGCTGCTGCTGCTGCTGCTGCTGCTGCTGCTGCTGCTGCTGCTGCTGCTGCTGCTGCTGCTGCTGCTGCTGCTGCTCCTCCTCCTCCTCCTCCTCCCTCCCTCCTCCTCCTCCTCCTCCTCTCCTCCTCCTCCTCCTCCTCCTCCCTCCCTCCTCCTCCTCCTCCTCCTCCTCCTCCTCCTCCTCCTCCTCCTCCTCCTCCTCCTCCTCCTCCTCCTCCTCCTCCCGCGGACCCCTCCCTGGCACGCGGAGCGCGCCACGGGCGGCGCCCGAGACGCCGCCAGTGGGCCCAGGTGCTCCTCCTCCTCCTCCTCTCCTCCTCTCCTCCTCCTCTCCTCCTCCTCTTCCTCGCCCTCCTCCGCGTCCCCCTCGTCGTCCTCCTCCTCCTCCTCTTCCTCATCCTCCTCCTCTTCCTCCGCCTCCTCCGCGTCCCCCTCGTCGTCCTCCTCCTCCTCCGTCCTCTGTTTGTGTTTATGTGGTGTTTTCTTCTTCGATCGGAGCCCCCGTCCTCCACCTCCTCCTCCTCCTCCTCGTCGTTCCCCTCCTCCTCTCCCTCCTCCTCCTCCTCCTCCTCCTCCTCCTCCTCCTCCTCTCCTCTCCTCCTCCTCCTCCTCCCTCCTCCTCCTCCTCCTCCTCGTCGTTCCCCTCCTCCTCCTCCTCCTCCTCCTCCTCCTCCTCCTCCTCCGTCCTCTGTTTGTGTTTATGTGGTATTTCCTTTTTCGATCGGAGCCGTCGTCCTCCTCCTCCTCCTCCTCCTCCTCGTTCCCCTCCTCCTCCCCCTCCTCCTCCTCCTCCTCCTCCTCCGTCCTCTGTGTATGTTTCGGAGGTTGAGGGGTGAGATCGCAGTGTAACGGAATCCCCCCACCAGGAAATCGAGTTTCGAGTTCGTGCTCGTGCCGTGCGTGCGGGCGAGGCGAAGCTGCGTGGGCCAGCGAAAGGTATTCACTCTGCTGTCGCTAGGGGTCTGCCAACACAAATGTTCCCCCCCCCCGCCTTGTCAAGCGGTAGCTCATGTTGTCCCGTCGGTTGCCCGCCGGTTGCTCATCATGGTTGCTCATCATGATTGCTCATCATGGTTGATCATCACTGTCCCACCGGTTGCTCATCATGGTTGCTCATCATTGTCCCGCCGGTTGCTCATCATGGTTGCTCATCATGGTTGCTCATCATGGTCCCGCCGGTTGCTCATCATGGTTGCTCATCATTGTCCCGCCAGTTGCTCATCATGGTCATCACGTGGGCGCTGCCAGTGCAGGCCAACACCGCACCAGGCGCTTCCAGTGCATCTGGCAGCAGTGTCCCTGCTGAGCAAGTGGCACCGCCCGCCACAAACAGCCAGTCGTCTCCACCGACGCTGGGCGGAGGGTGCTACTACACAAGTCGCCCAAGCGAAGGAACAACAAACAAATCCACCACGTCATCCACACCATCGTCGCCCATCAGCACCACGTTCATCACAGTTGTCGTCAGGAGCCACCCCCTCCCCCCACACCTCCCCACAACCTCCTTATCACCCGCAGGGTGGTCGTATAGGTATGTGGTGTTTTCTTTTTCGATCGGAGACCTCCTCCTCCTCCTCGTTCTCCTCCTCCTCCTCCTCCTTTTCCTCCTCCTCCTCCTCCTCCTCCTCCTCCTCCAACGTCCTCCTCCTTCTCCTCCTCCTCCTCCTCCTCCTCCTCCTCCTCCTCCTCCTCGTCCAACGTTCCCTCCATTTCCTCCCACTCGCGCTCACGTCGCCGCAGGGGCCGCTGGCCGGGCCCCGTGGCCCGAGCTGCGGCCAAAAAACATCTGCGCGGCAAGGGCGCGCTGGCGGGTGGACTCAAAGTGCCCACTCGCGCCTTGCCAGGCCAGGCTCGACCGTGGGGGGAAAACACACACAAAAAAAACACACGTCTGTGGGATAATTATACCAGCACGACCCTACCTAGGAGTTGGAGCCCCTAGGAAAGCAGCATAAGCTAAGCTAGGCTAAGCTAAGCTACGATAGCTAAGCTAAGCTGAGCTAAACTAAGCTAAGCTAAGATGAGCTAGGCTAAGCTAAGCTTAGCAAGGGTAAGCTAGGCTAGGCTAAGCTAAGTTATGCTAAGCTCAGCTAAGCTAAGCTAACATGAGATAAGCTATGTTAAACTAAGCTAAGCTAAGCTAAGTTAAACTAAGCGAAGCTAAGCTAAGCTAAGATATATTAAGCTACTATGAGATAAGCGAAGCTAAGATTTGCCACGCTAAGCTAAGCTAAGCTAAGCTAGGCCAGGCGAGGCTAGGCTAAGCTAAGCTACGCCAATCTAAGACGAGAGAATCAAAGCTAAGCTGAGCTAAGCTAGCTAAGCTAAGCTAAGCTAAGCTAAGCGAAGCGAAGCGAAGCTAAGCTAAGCTAAGCTCAACTCACCCAGGGGGCGCGGGGGGATCCTGGGGGAACCGTGGGGCGGATGCCGGGGAAACCACCCGGGGCGAGCCCCATTGCCCGGCCCCTTAAGCTAATAAAGTAAGAACCCTTCTAGGCAGAGCCTGGGTAGGGAAAAAAACACACTGTGTGAAACAAAAACACACTGTGGGGGGAAAAACAAAAGCACACACTGTGTGTGGGTGTTTTAAACACACTGTGTGTTTTTCTCACATATTGTCCCCAAAGTATTCGACTATGTTTGAATCTTCCTCCTGTAGAGGGACAGGCCCCGACCTAGCAGTACGTCTAACCAGGGGTCCATGCTTGAACTCCGAACACCTGGCAAGCCAGAGGGGGAAACGTCCTCTCGGCCATGGCCAGAGGAGGGCCAGCCGAGACAGCGGATGCTCCAGATCCACGCGGCCCACAGCCGATCTTAAAATCGGCCCCCAGACCCCTCCCGGGGGTCCATCCCGAGCCCTCCTTCGAGGCGGCCCAAGCCGTGGCGACGAGAAGCCTCCGTGGGGCCCGCAGGACTCGGGGGCGCGCAAACATGGACTAGCGATCCATGGCCTTGGCGCGCGGTCGCCAAATCCACGGGTCGGGGGGCGGGGGCATCCCCAGAATGCGGCCAGTGCCGCCTCGCTCGGCGGCGGACACCCGCGATTCCCCGTGGAAGCGGGGCCCGTCGCTGATCCACGCCCCCTTGATCCATGTTTGAGATCGCCTGGAAAGGACGTCGGACCAACACGTATACACCCATTCCCCCAAATTCGAAGCTGACGGGCTTGGGCCGCAGGCCAAAGGCCCGGGGCAAAAAACGTGGACAGTTTTGGGGGGGAGGGGTGCGAAGCAGGGGCACGTTGCAGGTGTGCTTGTTACCCATGTTGCATCTCCTTACCACCATGGGTGTGAACACTTCTTGTCCAGGCACCCGTGCGGCAAGACCATGGGTGTCCATGCGGGACCCGCGGGCCCCCAGGTCGGCAGGATCCTTCGGAGCAGCGCGCGGTCGAGCAGCGCGCGCCCGTCGCAGAAGCATTCGAACTTGCCCGCGGCGCCCAGGGGGGAACGCGCGCGCCCCCTCAACATCAGCTCCCCGAGACGCCGCCTCCAGGCATGCCCTGACCAGGGAGCTCGAGGCCGGCCCAGCGCGGCTCCTCTCACGCGCAGGAGTGAGAGCATCGGCAAGAGTGGCCTATGGGTGCGAGGCTTTCCGATCGTGGCGTGCGATGCGTTCAACGACAACCTCTGTTCGTATTCTCTGTGCCTGCCAAAGCCCCCACCCACACAGCGCAGCCCCCGAAGCCGCGCACCGGAAGCCGCGCCAGAGGCACCCAGACGTGTCGCCCACCAGCCGCGTCGACAAGGGGCGCCTCCCTCCCCCGAGGGGGGCCCCTAAGAGGGCCTCTTCGCCTGCTTCCCCCGGCTGAAACTTCCCGGCGCCGAGAGAGAGGCCGCCCTCCAGACACACAGGCCTGCCAGGACTGCTCGAGACCTCGGCTGGCACTCGACCTCAGAGGTCCCGGTGCCGCGTTTCCGCACCCCTGGAAGATCAAGGTCGGGCCCACCCCTCCTCCCTCGGCTCCCGCCCCCTCTCGGGTATCTTCTGACCCGGGTCAATCCAGACCAGGGTCAGCAGGAAACCGAAAAACTGAAATGCAGGGGAAAAAACTGCAACGCAGGTCTTCGCAAACCCGGGTCAGCCAATATGCGCGGCCGCCTCGCGGCCACGAGCAGCTCGCTAACCCGGGTCAGCCAGAGGGGGTCTTCGCATGATCCTGCAAAATCCGGGTGCCATGGCCGACCCCCGTTTGCATTGACCCCCATCTCAAGGCTCCAGCCCCCTCTGTTGCTACTGCCCAGCTGGGCGCTGCTCCCTCCCACCTCCTCCTCCGCTCCTTTCCTTATCGGCTGCACGCGAGCTGTGGTCCAGGGCAAAATGAACCTTCGTGGCCCACGGCTCCTGGGGGGGGGGTCGACGGGGAGGGGGGAGGTGACAAACCCGCGCGCGCGATCCGCCGCTGCCATCGCATTGCATGCGGCGATCGGGGGATCCCAGTGGGCCCGCACCAGAGGTCACTCTGGCGAATGGCCGCTCTTGCGCGTAGGCGCCATCGCTGCTTGCGCCTACAGTCGGACCTGGGCCAGAAGAGCATCCTTCAAGAGCATGAGACCCTCCGCTGGCCAAACTGAAGAACATTCGAGGGTGACCTCCCCAGGATGCACGAGAACATCCGACAAGCACGAAGAACATTAGGGTACTCTCCCCGAACGGACCTCGATCTTAGACCTCGGCCCGACTGTACCCAAGATTGCCCAATTCGACGCCTGAGCCCGTTCGGCTCGGCGTCTGGGCCCCTTCGGCCGCTCGGAGGGGCCTCCAGAGCAATGGGAGAAGTGAGCCCGCTCGGCCGCTGAGGCGGGCTCAGTCCTGGGCCCGCTTGGCGGCCGAATGGGCTCAGATGCCGACTTTGGAGGCGGCGGTTGGGACCCCAAAAAAGAAGACGAAGCCACGACGAGGGTAACATCGGGGAAGGATAAAACGAGAATCTCTGAGGTCCTGCGGCTCTGGAGGACGTCTCGGGCGCCGCGGCCTTCCCAGAGCGTCCCAAAACGCTCTGCCTTCCCAGAGCGTTCCGGAAGGCTCTGAGAGCGTTCCGGAAAGCCCTGGAATGGAGGTATCCTCGTCCTAGCCCCGTCCGAGAAATTCTGCCAGGAGGGGGTGTGAAGCCAAGTCGGCTCAAACTCGGTTCCCGGACCCCTCGCGCGGGGTCCCTCTCTGGTGCGGTGTGTCACCCCGGGTCCGTTTCTGACGGCCCTGGGTCCCGAAATGGCCCCCATAAGCCGAAAGAGGCAAAACAACTCCTCGAGCACAGCACCTCAAACCTGACCGCCCTTCCTGCTGGTTGGAGCCAGTGCTTGAGAAAGACAGTTATCGTGTTGGGAGGAGGGGTTGGGTCGATAAAGGCACGACTGTGTCATAAATGCGATGGCACGGACAAAACGATTATTTCTCCCCACCTCCTCCCTAACCACATGATTGTCTTTCTGAATGCTGGGCCACCTCAGCCCCCCAGACGGCTCCAGCGCCGAACGCCGGCGGCGAACATGGGGGGGAAGTGAGAAGGAGAAGGCCCTCTCGCAAGGCGGCGGGACTTCTCAGAAACCCTCCGGCCTTCCGAGAAGTCTTCTGGGCCTTCGGGGAAGGCTTCCAGCAAACTTCTCGGAAGGCTGGAGGACTTCCAAGCCTTCTGAGAAGGCCCGCCCTCGAGGACGCGCTGACACGGTCAATGCAAACACGGGTCAGTCAGGCCTTGCAGGATCCCGCACCCAAGCCCGGGTCAGTGCAGCCCCAACCCTGCAGGATCCTGCAGGAGCTGGCGCTCTCACTGGCACCCGTGTGCTTTGACCCCCGTCTCTTGAGCCCAGACGCCCCTGCTCACTTCCCCCCTGGGCCCGCCGCCGAGAGGGGTCTCAGCAAGAGGGGCCGCAGCCTGCCGCTGCCGCTGCCGCTGCCGCCCGCCACTCGGAAGAGGCCCGCCGAGGCCCCAACCGCGCTCGGCCTGCCACCGCAGCAGCCTCCGCTCGGCCGCCTGCAGCTCGTAGGAGAGCTCGCGGCAGGTCTGCACCGCCTCCCCGCGGCGGCGGGACGACGCCCACGCCGACGACGCCGACGACGCCGCCGACGCCGACGCCGACGCCGACGCCGACAGCGACGCCGACGCCGAGGTCGACGCAAATGCCGACGCAGACGACGACGACGACGACGACGCCGACGCCGACGCCGACGCCGACGCCGACGCCGACGCCGACGCCGACGCCGACGCCGACGCCGACGACGACGACGACGACGACGGCAACGACGACGACGACGATGACGAAGACGACGACGTCGCCCGAGGCTCGAGGGCTCAGGCTTCTGGACGCTCCCTGCCTTCCCTCTAGGAATCCCGAGGCCCCTGGAGACCTCTGGAGGCTCCCTGGATAAAGGGGGCCAAGGACGCACAAATAAATACACACGAATCGTTCACTGCGTGGAGCTCCCCATGTGTGCATCTATTCGCATGGACCTGTCCGCCGTGAGTCTAGGCGCAAGAGTTTTCGAATATAAGCGGGGTTGAGTTGTGACGGTCTGGTCATGAATCTAACTTCAAACGGATTGGAGCGTGAGTGAGACTCGGTAGTACGAGCGCGTCTCTGCGCATGAGCCTGGGGCCTCCTGGGGCCTCCAGAAACCTCCTGGAGCTTCATGGGGCCTCCTGGTGCCTCTTGGGGCTTCGAGTGGCCTCCTGAGGCCTCCTGGGACCTCCTAGGGAGGATTCGTGACAAGAGAAGGGCCGTCTATAGGAGCACACGTAAAACACCAAGGACTCGTGCCCCAGGGGAGGTCCAATCTATAGGAACATACGTAAAGCATTTAGGATTGTATACACAGGAGAAGCACAATCTAGAAACATACGTATAGCATCAAGGGTTCGTGCTCCAAGTGAGGCCCAATCTATAGGAGCATACGTAAAACACATGGGATTGAAGCCACTCCTGTTGCCTTCGTAGGCCTCCTGCTCCTGGGGCCTCTCGGGGCTTCCTGTTGCCTGGGCCTCCTGGCTCTTCCTGTGGCCTCCTGGGGCCTCCTGTGGCTTCCTGAGGCCTCCTGGAGCTTCCTGGGGCCTCCTGGGGCCTCTTGGGACATCCTGTGGCCTCTTGAATCTTCCTGTGGCCTCCTGGAGCCTCCTGGGGCCTCATGTGGCCTCCTGGGGCCTCCTGAAGCCTGCTGGAGCCCCTGGAAAGAATATGTGCCCACGAGTCTGGCCACCAAAACAAGCAAACCGATCGAGACATCCCCAACATCTGGCCCCCCTGGGGGGAGGAAATGGGCGCCTCGCTCGAGACATCCTCAAACTCTGCTCCGAAAACGGAGGATGTTGGCGACCAAAAGAAGCAAACCGCCTGATACATCCCCACCATTTGGGCGCGACCGGAGGCCGTGCAATACCCCTGGTGACCCCCCCTTAGAAGGCGCCTCGCACGAGACATCCTCAAAATCTGCTCCGAAAACGGAAGATGTTGGCGACCAAAACAGGCAAACGGCCTGAGACATCCCCACCATTTGGGCGCGAACGGAGGCTAAGCAATACCGCTGGCGGCCCCCCCCCCTTAGGAGTGCTAAAACCAGCAAGCCGCTCGAGACATCCTTATCATCTGCTCATTGTCGTCATCATCATCATCATCATCATCATCATCATCATCATCATCATCATCATCATCATCATCATCATCATCATCATCATCATCATCATCATTATCCTCATCATCAGCAGCAGCATCAGCATCAGCATCAGCATCAGCATCATCATCATCATCATCATCATCATCATCATCATCATCATCGTCATCGTCATCGTCATCGTCATCATCATCATCATCATCATCATCATCATCATCATCATCATCATTTATCATTCATCATTCATCATTCACCATCACCATCAGACTCACATCATACTCTCACCATACCATGGTCATCATCATGTGGTATGGGTGGTCAGGCGCGGCCGGAGAATTATTCACTGCGTGGAGCTCCACACATATATATATATATGTGCATAGATTCGCATGTGCGTGTCCGCCGTGAGTCTAGGCGCAGGAGTTTTCGAATATAAGCGGGGTTGGGTTGTGACGGTCTGGTCATGAATCTAACTTCAAATGGATTGAAGCGTGAATGTGTCTCGGTAGTACGAGCGCGTCTCTGCGCATGAGCCTGGGGCCTCCTGGGGCCTCCTGGGGCCACCTGGGCCTTCCTGGAGCCTTCAGGAGCCTCTTGGGGCCTCCTCGAGCCTCTTGGGGCTTCGAGCGGCCTCCTGAGGCCTTGTGGAGCCTTGCGTAGCCTCCTGGAGCCTCCTGGAGCCTCCTGGGACCTCCTACGGAGGATTCGTGCCCCAGGGGAAGCCCGATACGTCGGAACAGACGTACATAAAGCATTGCAGATTGGAGCCACACGAGAAGGGCAGTCTATAGGAGCACACGTAAAACACCAAGAACTCGTGCCCCAGGGGAGGCCCAATATATAGGAGCAGACGTAAAACTTTTAGAATTGTATACACAGGAGAAGGACAATATATAGAAGCATACGTACAGCATCAAGGAGTCGGGCTCCAAGTGAGGCTCAATCTATAGGAGCATACGTAAAACACATGGGATTGGAGCCACTCCTGTTGCCTTCTGAGGCACTGCTCCCGGGGCCTCTCGGGGTCTCCTGTTTCCTGGGCCTCCTGGCGCTTCCTGTGGCCTCCTGGGGCCTCCTGTGGCTTCCTGAGGCCTCCTGGAGCTTCCTGGGGCCTCCTGGAGCCTCTTGGGACATCCTGTGGCCTCTTGAGTCTTCCTGTGGCCTCCTGATGCCTCCTAGGACCTCACGTGGCCTCCTGGGGGCTGGAGCCTCCTGTGGCATCCTGGGTAGAATATGTGCCCACGAGTCTGGCCACAAAAGCAAGCAAACCGATCGAGAAATCCTCAAAATCTGGCCCCCCTGCGGGGCGAACATGAGCGCCTCGCTCGAGACATCCTCAAAATCTGCTCCGAAAGCGGAAGTTGCTGGCGACCAAAACAGGCAAACCGCCTGAGACATCCCCACCATTTGGGCGCGAACGGAGGCCGTGCAATACCCCTGGCGGCCCCCCCTTAGGAGGCGCCTCGCACGAGACATCCTCAAAGTCTGCTCCGAAAGCGGAGGGGACGTTGCGGACCAAAACAGGCAAACGGCCTGAGACATGCCCACCATGTGGGCACGAACGGAGGCTGTGCAATACCCCGGCCCCTGACGGCCCCCCCCTCACGAAAGCTAAAACCAGCAAGCCGCTCGAGACATCCTCATCATCTGCTCATCGTCATCGTCATCGTCATCGTCATCATCAGCAGCAGCATCATCATCATCATCAGCATCATCATACTCATCCATCATTCACCATCACCACCTTACTCACATCATACTCTCACCATACCGTGGTCATCATCATGGCATGGGTGGTCCAGCGAATTCGAGAATAACAAGAACCCCATCCTTCGAACATGGGAAATAGCAGGATTCCCCCCATTTCCCACGTTCTCCCATATTTTCTTGAGGATCGACGATCAATTGTGTATGTGTTGTTTCCTCTCCTGACTGGAGACCTCCCGACCCACATCGGTCGGAGTGGGAGACGGCCAGGTTCCAGGGTGGCGGTGGGATTTGGCACTTTTTTACCCATCGAGGAAGCCCAGCGGCAGGGACAGGCAGCAGAGGGGGGAGGGAGGAAGGAGGGGCGGGGGGGAAGCGGAAGGCACGCAGCCTGCACGCAGACTGCCCGAATTACGAATCAGTCCTGCGGCCCCGGGCGCTGCGCCAAGCGCGCCTGCAGCGCCTCGCGCCAGTGCATCGTGCACGGAAGCTGCTCTCTCGCAGATCGGGTGGCGGGGCGGGGAGGTGGGCTTGGAGGTGGGCATCGATGGGGCAGGGAAGGAAGAAGGAGGGGGAGGAGGACCAGGTGATCATGAGATACCAATTTTTTGTCGGTCGCGGTCGGTAGCGACCGATCGGCACTCGCGATCGGTCGCGACCGATTTTGAAGCAGATAGGTCGCGACCGATGCCGACATTTGAAACAAATTCGGTAGCGACAGATCTCCGGTCGCGACTGGAAAACTACAGTATCCAATGACCATGGGCGGGCACGACAGCGGCGACGCCGGAGATTTTCTAGCGGCAGCGGCGACCCTGAGATCCGACGTCACGAAACACTGCGACACCGTAAACAAAACCCGACCTGGAACCTGGACCTTGTCCTTCTGCTGCATGCTTCGGGCCGGATCGATCCGAGAGAGTCCTGAGGCCCGATTTTTTTGTTCGTGAAGAAATCGCCTGAAGGTTCGCTCGCTCTGCCAGTGCTCCATGCGGTGACGAATGCAAAAACGCCTGCAGTGGCCCCGGACTCGGGCTTGAACAGACGATGCGAATGACAGGTGTTGCCGACCACGCTGCTCAAATCCGCTTCCCCTCAATGAGGCCCGACATGAGGCGAAATAGCTGGGAGTGGCACAATTGCGACGCAAGGGTTTACAAGGACGGCTGCGGCGGCGACGTGGGCGAGGACGACGGCGACGACGACAACGGCCTCGTCGTCTCGGAGTTGCGCGGCGGCGCTCCAAAAGCTTGGGCCGCCCCTGCAGACGGTGGGGCTGCCGGCCCTGAGGCTTTTCAGGAGGGCTGACAAAAATCAGCACAATGCCCTTCCCACTCGATGCAATTGCCACTCGATGTTTTCGGCAGGCCTGACGGGTATGCGACAAATGTCTTGTCGTGGCAATTTCGGCCTTACTTCCTGATGCCGCGTGGATTGTTCAATCTTGAACGATCGACGCGATGCGGCGGACTACGGAGATGAATCACGGGATGAAGAAGCTTTCTCGATCTTGCTTCTCCTCCTCCTGTTCCTCCTGCTCGATCGTCGAACCTCGTCATCGCTTCTCCTCTCCTCCTCGACCATAGGTCGTCCTCATCGATCCTTATCCGCCTCCTCCTCCTCCTCTTCCTCCTCCTCCTCCTCCTCCTCCTCTGCACTCCCTCCTCCTCCTCCTTCTCCTCTCGATCCTCCTCCTCTGTCCTCGTCGTCCTCCTCCTCCTCCTTCTCCACCTCCTCCTCTCGATCCTGCTCCTCGATCTTCTTTCCTCGATCCTTGATTTTCGACCCTCGATCCTCGTCCTTCTCCTCCTATTCCGTCATCCTCGACTCTCGATCCTCATCTATCCTCGATCCTCATCCCCGAACATCGACCCTCCTCATCGATCCTCCTGGATCCTCGATCCTCATGCTTGATCCGCATCCTCACCGAACGTAATAATGAGGCAATCGCACATACGAGTGTCTACGTACCGATGAAGTTATGCATCAACATTCATGCTATGACGAGGCAATGCTGCATATAGTGATGATGTGTGGGGGAGAAATGGCGAGGGCTAGGCAGAGGATCTGCATAATGATATGGCTCTTGAGGGCTATGGCTAATGGCAAGTTCCTGAGATGGTCTTGCAATGGGATCCAACGAGCGCGGCTTCCCTTGAGACTTCCGCAAAACTCAATCAAAACCGAGGCTCCCGCTCACGATTTGCCTGCAAGTCACTCACTATCGCCCATGAGGCATCCCATTCGACAACAAGCAACCTTCGACAAGCGTTCCAGATGCTGCCACCCCGCCCCCTGAGATAGACTCTGGATCGTTTCTACGACCTTGTCGAACTCTGAAACGAGACGCGGTCAGGAAATATCTAGCCCTGCTCGTGTGTGGCTGATTGCTGCCCTGGGATGGCCACAAACTGTCGGGAGTTGAGGAATGTAGAATGAGAATCATTTTTCTTATGACCTCATCGCAGCAGTTCAAGTGACCACACTTAGAGGCAGCTTGATATATATTGAGGCACCGACCAACCCAGACGAAAGATGGCAAAATTCCCGACGGGACGGTTCGTCCGCGGGGCACTCGAAGTCCATGTACCGCCAACGGCACACATAACAGGAGGACGAGACGGGATGGGAAGAACATGAGACATCAAAGGAGACGAGACGAAAGAACGACAGGACGATTATCGGATTAGTCATCAATTGGCCTACGGGAAGCTGAGCTGGGCCGTGCAAGTCCTGCAAGCCCGCACACTAACTACAAATGAACGGCGCACACCCGCGTGGAAAATTTGTGCAGGAACGTTCGGGAGCTCGACCCCCCCCATGGCACGCTCCTGCAGCGTGACGCCGGATGCCTGTGGCCGCGGAGAACAGGATGTCCCCGAACAGGGAGAGGGAAGATACGTGTACACACCCATGCACGTCCACACCTTTAGTCCCAGGTACAGCTATTATATACCTAGTGAACGTTTTCTTCTTTGGCGTTTCAACATTGGGCGGAAGGAGGGGGGGGAGGGGGGGGCCTGGCTTCGGACCTCTGCTTAATGCGACTGTTTGCAACATTCATGGGGGGGACCCCACCTGCTCTAAACAGGAGCCCCAAAGGCAGCCAAGATCTGCTTCATGGGTGGGGGGCGAACAGCGGATGAGAACACGATCGCCTGTTAGGAAGGAAAACACAGGGAGAGACAGAGAGAGAGAGAGAGAGGAAACACTGCAGCGATTTTTCGGCACAGTGGCCTCGCCGGGCTCCGCGCGGCCTCCGCTCGGCCACCGTGGCGACGGGGGGAGGCCCCCCCGCGCACGGGCCCGTCGCCCGAGGGACGCGCCCGCGGCGAGGCGCAGCCTCGGAGGCGCGGCGGCGGCGAGCCCCCCGCGCAGGGAGGGTGCGCCGGACGCGGAGCGTCCCGGGTATCTCGCGGCCAGGAGACCGTTTTTTTGATCGGGGAGACGTAAGACTCGGGTACGGGGGACTCGGGTTAGCCTAACGGGGGGCCTTGTGAAAACGACGAAATCCAATCTGAAATTTGACGCGGGCTCTCGCTGCAGACATCCCACAAACGCCCGACCGTCAAATCCTGGACGCGCTCGTCAAAAAACTTCGGCCAACCCGAGTTCCGGCTTACTCGGGTCTTACGTTTCCCCGATTTGAATCGGCGATAGCCTGGGTTATCCTGGGGGAGAGGGGGGGAGGAGGGGGCCGGCCGATGACTGAGCCCTCGCGCTGTGGGCAGCCCTGCAGATGCCCGCGCCCCCCCCTCCCGCGGACCTGCACAACCGGCAAGGTTAGGTTATCCTGGGGGGGGGGGGGGGGCAAGCCCGATGACCCGGGCTATCGCCCGGCCCTCAACAAAAACAGTCTCCAGGAGAGGAGGCGTCTTCTCGCGGCGGCGCGCACAAATTGGGTAATGGGGGAGGTGGGCTGCTTCTGAGAGGGGAGATGCCTCTCAGAAAGCACCAGCCCTGCATCTGCAGACGAGGCCCGCGCCTCCCGAGAAGCAGGGGTGCTTCTTAGAAGAAGCCTTCCCCCTTTCCTGCCCCCCTTCTGCGCGTGGCCGAGACGCGCTGGACAGTGAGCGTACCCGGAGCATCGCGGACAGGAGCGAAGCGTTTCTCTGGTCTAGACACCCTGGACCCTTCCGCGCGACACCTTTTGCCATCATTTCCGCCCTCTGGGGACCCTGGTCAGGCCACAGGACTGTAAACAAACCGCTGAGGATGAAACAACGGTGTTGGGGGAAACGGTCTGGACTTCAGGGCCCCCCGCTTTGAGCAGACATCACAAATATAGTAGCTATCTGAAACCATCCTCCGCTACAAAAGAACAACAACATACAACGACAAACGACTCTTCTGCGCGATCTACAGCCAGCGCAGCAATGTCAGCACGATGGAAAAAGGGGTTCTGCGGGACACAAGGCCTGGACCCCGGGGCCGTCCTCGGGAACGGATTTTCACCCAGAGTCCTTGTTGACAGTCCAGGACACGGAAGCATCGAAAATAGCCAATAGCCGACGTGACACACACAGACACATACACAGACACATACACAGACTCAGACACACCCTCACACACAAACACACACACACAACGCATACACACACAACGCACACACACAACACACACACACACGCGCACTCCCATGTTTGAAGAAGAGTCGCTGAACCAACAGACAACACGCCTAAACGGCTCGCATTCCAGGATCTTCCTGTCGTGTAAGCAGGGTGTTATGCCTCTTGTGTTGCGTAACAGGTCGCGCGTGCAAGGCCGCTCCTTGGGGGTCCGCCAGGAACGGACAAGAGGTCACGTCGGCTTGCCCAATGCTCGTCGAAGAAGCCCCACGCATTGCCCCAGCATGGGGCGAACACTACCCCAAGAGGTCCTCAGATCGTTGCTTCGCGAAGACAACCAACGCACCAGAATTCGCGATGCGGCTCAAGATGGCCGAATAAGCCGTCTTCGGGGGCTCCCAAGCGAGGGCCACCATCGTCCAAGCATTACCTCTCATCCTGATGTTCGCGTTTTCGCCGTTACGGGCCCAGGCGGGCCTCTCAGGCCCTGAGGTGGCCCTCGTCTGCCCCCCCCCCCCCACACACAGCCCCCCCCCCGCCGCTCCCTGGGGGTCCCCACTCCTCCCCGAACAGCGCTTGCACTGAAGTTGCCCTACTCCCTCCCCGCTCAGTGTTTGCACTTAGGAGTCCCTTCTCTTGTTCTACGGAGCTGCACCTGGCTGCCAGTATGATGGCTATGGCGTCGCCGTTGCCGCCCCGTCGCCGCCTCGTCGCCGCCCGTCGCCTGGGCCCGATTGCCGGTCTGGCGGCTATGGCGCTGCCGTCGCCGCTCCGTCGCCGCGCGTCGTCTGGGCCTGACTGCTGGCCTGGCGGCTGTGTTGTCGCCGTCGCCGCCCCGTCGCCGCCCCGTCGCCGCCCCGTCGCCGCCCCGTCGCCCCGCCCCGCCGCTTTGCACGACATAGATTGGTCCACCTAGATTGCACAGCGCCGATTCCTTTTCTTAAACACACGTCAGATCGCCCCCCCCCCTCGCTTTATCGTCACACCTATGAGAATACACCTTACATGTGGCTTTACCCCTGCGTTCAGGTTTGAACTGAACTGGTTCCATCCCAGCTGGACCCTCTGCCGCCCCCACCCCGCATCCCTGACAACAAATAGTATGCACGCACCGTCGCTTACCAAAAACAGCAAGTGTTCAAGAACCCCTTGCACACACACTCACACACAAACACAAACACACACAACAAACAAACGACAAACTCGACACGCGCGCGTCGTCAGGCGCGCATGCCAGAATTCACCAAACACCTTAGCAAACGCATGAATTTCAAGACCAGAGTTCCCGGGAACACCTGAAACAAACCGAATGGTCTTACAAAATTATGTTTCAAGAAAATGCGCGCGCCCTTGCGAGTTCTCTGGGCAACCATCGGGATCATTCAAACCAAATGCGACCCAGCGGGCCTCTCGCGTGCGCATGTCGGAAGCATTCGAATGCCTTTTCGCGCTGGCTGGGGGGGGCCACGATCACTGTCAAACCACAGCATCCCAAATCTTCATCGACGACATGTGGACACCATCGGTGCCATTGGCCTTGCAGTCGTCATCGTCACCATCGCCACTATCATCGCTACCAGAAGCATCGTTTCCGCCTTTGTCGACGTCACCATGAGTACTGCGCCCGCCCGAGTCACCGACTCGCAGCGTAGTGCCCGCGCGCCAGAGCGGCCTGTGAAACGCTCTGGGAAGTCCCCAACGGTGAAGGCCACCGCGGCCACGTCTGTTGTGCCAAACTAGCTGGCCGCTGTGCGCGAGAGCATGCGCGCGCCAGCGCGGCCGCAGAGATGCGCCAGCCAGCACGAAGCACTCATCGCCATCGCCGCCGCATACGTTCTGTGCAAACAAAGCTGCGGGCGGGTGGGTCGGATGAATGAGCGAGCAGTGAGGTTGACAGCTTCAAGTTGTATGTTGCTCCCATCGTACTTCACATCCACATCCCAGAAAAAAATCAAGCACCCAGAAAGGTGTCGAAAGAGTGTCGAAACAGTGTCGGGCGAGTGCCTTCCAGGGCCCGACACGCGAAAACCCTTGAGCGGTGCTTGTTTCTGGCGCTCGAACTTCTTTCTGGTGATCAAGGCTACGGTTGGAACATCATAACCCAAGCTCTTCACAACGACTTGCACCACGTGGGTTGCACCTGTGGGGAGAAAAAAAAACGGGGGCGAGCTGCTGGGCGGGCCCTATCTGCGCGCTCCCGGGGAGCCGGAGGCGCAGCCACAGAGGAGCAGACCCCCCTCGAGTCGTGAAGGCGTCGGGGCGGAGGTCGGCCCCTCGGGGCCTTTTCTCCCGGGCCCCGGGGCCGTCAAGGCACGATCGAGCCACGAACCCGGAGAGGGATTCCACAATCGCGAGGCTCATGCTGCTCCGATCGTACTTCACGACCACATCCCAGAAATACTTTCGAGCACTCGGAAAAGGTGTCGAGAGAGTGCCGAAAGAGTGTCGGAACAGTGTCGAACGAGTGCCTCCCAGGGCCCGACACGTGAAGGCCCTCGAGTTTCGGTATTTCGCTGGTGCTCGAATTTTTTTCTGGTGATCAAGGCTGAAGTAGGCTGGGACATCATAACGCGAGGCATGGAACCGCCTCAAAGGACCTCAACAGGGCGATGGGCAGTGGCAGTGCTGAAGACATCGATGGTGATGGTACTGTGCCAGGGTCTGCGTTGAGCTGCGTTGCGCCGTGCCGTGCCGCACAATGACGTGCCAGGGGGCGCGCCAGGGGACATGCCACGGGACGCGCCAAGGGACATGCCAGGGGGACGCGCCGCGGATCGTCCCAAGGGACGCGCCAGGGGACGTGCCAGGGGATGTGCCATGGGGACGCACCGCGGGACATGCCAAGAGGACGCGCCACGGAGCGTGTCGGTGCACGTGCCACGGGACGTGCCAGGGGACGCGCCGCGCGACGTGCCAGGGGGACGCGCCACGGGACGCACCAGGGAACGTGCTAGGCGACGCGCCAGGGGGACGTGCCAGGGGACGCGTCAGGGACCGTGCCACTGGACGCGCCACGGGACGCGCCAGAGACGCATCAAGGGACGCGCCGCGGATCACCTGGAGCCTCCTGGGATCTACGCGATGCCTCGTACGTTCGCGCCCCTTGGGCTGCGATCCATCGCACATTCCGATGGGCCCGCACTCCCAATGCAACGATCACAAGTAAGTGATGCTGCGTCGGCTCCCCGAAGGCAACGAACCCTCGTGCATCGTCCGCGCTCTCAGTGCCACGACCCTCGTAAAACTACTCTGGATTCGCGCTCACAGTGCCAAGCTGCATCTTAGATTACGCTCGGCCCCTGGTAAATGACGCAGGTGTAGCGAAGGTATGCCCGACGTACTCTGAAGGTATGTCGGACACACTCTTTGATGGTACGCTGAAGATACGCGGTTTCTGTTTTGGTCTTAACACGGAGCGTTATTGAAGGTACGCCGAAGGTCCGATGAAGGTACGCGCGTCAAAACCAGCGCAGGTACCCTGAATGCACGCAGAAGGTAGACAGGAGCGTGGGGGGGGGAGAAGACAGACCCCCCGCACCCCTCGCTCCTTGAAAAGCCGCGACGGATCCAGAAAGGAGCCAAACGCGGCGGACCCAGATGAGAACGCCTTACGGCGGGGCCCGCGCTCCCAAGGCAGCGATCGTTCGTGATTCGCGCTGCGCCCGCGCGCTCCCAAGGCCGCGATCCCTCGTGAAACGCGCTGCCTCCGCACCCCCAGCGCCCCGATCCCCCGTGCACGACGCTGGATCCGCACTCCCAGCGCCACGATCGCTCGCACACTGCACTGGAGTCGCGCTCCCACCCTCGCAACTTACGTGGCCACGGCCCCGCGTCAATGACGCTGCGCCCGCGATCCATCGTGAGTGGACCTGCCTCTGCGCTCCTAGGACCACGATCCCTACTATGTGTTACACCGGGTGCGCGCTCCGGGGGCCACGCCCCCTGGCAACTTACAAGTGGTTCCCGTTCGCCAGGCTACGATCCTAAATTACGGTGCATGCATGCTCCCAGGGCTACTGTCCCTCGCAAATTGCTTTGGGTTCGCGCTCCCAGGGCCACTAATTATCCCTGATCAATTACGCTGTGCCTGCGCCCTACCTAGGGCCACGATCAATCGTCAATTACGCTGGTTTCGCGTTCTCAGGGCCACGACCCATAGAAAAACACGCTGGTTTGCGCTCACAGGGCCACGATCACTTTAAATTAGGCTGCGCCCGCGCTCCCAAGGCCACGATTCCTCATGAATTGCGCTGCTTCCACGCTCCCAAGGCCACGACCCCTTGCAAACTACGCTGCCTCTGCGCTCCCAGGGTCACGAAGATGTTGCCCAAAAGAAAACTCCCCTCACCAGTACAGAAACACTTTTCTGGATTGGGATATGTGGTCGGGGGGACCTTGTAAGCACCCATCTGCCATTTCCTGAAAATCAAGCGCTGAACCCGAAACCAGGAATCCTCGTGAATTACACTGCGCCCGCGCGCCCAAGGCCGCGACCTTTCTCGCAATACGCTGGATTCGCGCTCTCAAGGCCACGGTCCCTCATACATTACCTTGAATTCGCACTCCCGCGATCCCTCGCACCTTTCCCAGGATTCGTGCATCCAGGGCCGCGATCCCTCGTATATTACGCTGGGCTCTCGCGCCGAGGGCGACCATCCCTCGTACATTAAACTGGGTTCTCTCAGGGCCAGAACCCGTCGTAGATTACATGATGTCCGCCCCCCCCCCTCAAGGACCCCTCGCAAGATACACTGTGTCCGCGCCTCCGGGGCCAGGACCCCTCGCCAATTGCGCTGCGTCCGCGCACCCAGGGCCAGGATGTGTTGCAAATTGCGCGGCGTCCGCGGTCCCAGGGCCACGATCCCTCGCCAGTGACGGTCAGACCGCACTCCGAGAACCACCAGGGAATCCTGGGAGGCCCAGGCCGCTGAAGCGTTGCAGAAGACGCGTTTCGCTGGCGATATCCTCAAATATTCGGCATGCAGGGCGCGCTATCCTCGAGAGCTCGCCAAAGCAAACGCTTCTTCTGTCCATGCAGACGATACCCTTTTGCATGCGCGCACAGTGGAGGGAACGAAGAGGGCAGGACGGTTCAGCAAACGCCCAAGGCAACATGGTGAGCGCCACCTTTGAGGAAATGAAGCAAGCCCGTGTTGTAACTACAGCCGTCGTGCCATCATGCGAAACGCTGAGTGAGGAACGACTCGGATTTTCTGGCCACGGCGAGCATCGGCCACGAAGAGGTCGTCCGACCTCGCTCTGTGGAACGCCCTGAGTAGGTGCGCGGACTACAGGGGCGCAAGGTGGCCAAATCCAAGCGCGCAAGCAGCCGCTGCCTCCTCGCGTTCGGCGATCGGGGGGGCGCCGATGAGCCCCGCACCAAAGGTCCCTCCGGCGAAGGCTCACCAATAGTCGAGCGTCTTAATTTGAGCGTCTCGTTCTTGCGATCCGCGCAACATTCTCGTTCTTGCTGCGCGCGGGCGCCCGCGGCCTCACAAGCCGCATTTGCCCTGCCTCCCGACACCAGACACCAGACACCGCAGGTACGCTTCGCTCTGTGCTTGGGCAAAGAGGGAAAGGGCACGCTCGCCGACACGGTGCCTCCGCGAACCTGTCGCGGGCCAGATTTGTCCCCGGCCTGGTCGGAAGCCGGCGTGAACCAAGATCTGGTCTGGAATGGGTCCGTGGAGCCTGGCGGGGGCACACAATTCGATGTTCCTTCTGGGGACCTTCGTGGAGCCACTCGCTTCACTCATGCGCCAATGCTGCGTCGAGCGCCCGTCGCCTCGATTAGAACGTGAGGCGACCTTGAGGCGTACTGGAGTCGAGCTAGGATCCACCCAGAGGGGAGCTAGAGTCGAATAGATCCGATAGGTGGGCCCCAGGGAGGTTCCCCACACAAATATCTGAGAATACTGCCCCTCTCCCGACTCTTCGCACTTTGCAGTCAGCTCGGCTCACATGTCTAAGTGTCGTTAGCATTCAGCCTCGGCAGCTCGCTCTCCGCGTGCCCGCGCGCGTCAGCCGCCGAGGCGGCCCGCTGCGCGAGGACACCCGTGATCAGCACCGCGATGATGGGCCCGATCGAGGCGCAGCTGAGGATCCCGAAGCCCTCCGAGGCATCGACTGCGCTGCCAAGGGAGAGCCCCGACGCTAGAACAATGGGCACCGTGACTGGTCCGGTCGTGACTCCTGCGGAGTCCCAAGCGATGCAGGTTATGGCGTCGTCGCACATGACCGTCAGGGCCGTGCAAGTTCCGTATCCGACCAGGATGATGGGCCACAAGGGCAGATTGAAATAGACCTTCGCCATGCCAAGCGAAATCCCGCAGCCGACGCCAAGCGCTACTGCGCCGACGAGCTTGTTCGCCGTATAGCTTCCCTTCGTGAGCTTCTCTACGGTTTCGCCGAGGGCTCGCAACGCAGGCTCCGCAAAGGTGGCCCCGGCGCCAGAAAGGAAGCCAAATGCCAAGATGACGATCGGTCCGAGCACATTGCCGAACTTGTCGACGGCCTTGGGCAAGGCTTTGCCAGCACCGGCTCCCAGGGGCACGAGTGCACCATCCAAGCCGATGGAGAACAAGTACATGCCCACGAAGCAAAATGCCAGCCCGCGGGCAAGAAGCACTGGATTCTTGATTGGCTCGCGTATCAGGCCCACCTGGAGAAGAAGCAGAAAGCCCGCCAGCGGCAAGATTGCTCTGGAAGTGCCTACGAACGCCTTCACCAGACTGTTCTCCTCGACAACCTCGGGGTCGTTGGCGTCTGCCGGCGCTATATCCGTAGGAGTCGCGGAGTCGCCTCCCAGAAGGAAGCCCAGCAGCCAGACTGCGATCACGGGAAAGAGGGACGCCAAAGTCACGATGCCGAAGCCGGAGAGGTCTGGCGCACCATCCTCCGCACCGTCGTCTGCGAACGGCCTCTGCTCCGTCCTCGCCACTGGGTCGATCTGCTGCAACATGGACTGTCTCCGCATCACCTCCCGCTGTTCGTCCCGCCTCGCCGAGGTTGGGATCCGCTTGGGATCATCGCCTGACGCGTGCGAACCGGCAGACTGCGTCTTTGACGCCGCCGCGACGCCGATCCCAAGGGCGAGGACGATGGGCACCGTGACTGGCCCCGTCGTCACGGCTCCACAGTCCCAGGCCAGGCCTGTCACCGTCGGAAAGCGGGGTGGGCTCAAGTCGCTCATGCGCAGGAACTGGAGGACGTAGGTCACGAGGACCGTGGGGATGCAACACGTCAGCAGCGTCTGCTTGACCTTCAAGTCGTAGACCAGACGGACGCACCCGAGAACTGCTGCGAAGCCAACTCCCACTCCGACGGCGACCATGAGAATGAAGGGGTTGTCCAGAATCTCGGCCAGAAGCGGCGCCTTTGGACGATTGGTGTTTTTCCCTGCCTCTTGCAGCGCTCCAATCGCGGGCTCAGCGATGGTGCACAAGATCCCAAGAACGAAGATCGCAGAGAACACCACCGCGCGTGATACCTTCAGCGGCAGCTGGTTCCCGACCATCTCCCCCAACGGCATGAGGCCCTGTCGAAGGCCCATGCTGAATATAGTGAGGCCAACCACGGTGATCACGAGGTAGAGGACGACGCTGGAGGAAAAGAGATTCGTGCCGAGGAATAGCAGCGCGTACAGGGTGATGAAGGCCGCGAGGCTGAAGACGCTTATCGCGTTCTGCGCGGCCTCGCGACCTGCCTCGTGGAGCAAATTTAAGAGCTCGTTCTCCGAGCCACCCTCCGCCACAACGAAGCTGCCATCTGCATTCCGCTCGCCGCGCTTGAAGATCTTCTGCGCCGCAGTCTGGTTGCCACGGGCGAGCGTTCGGGCGCTCCGCACCCTGCGCCAGAGCTCGGCCCCAGACCGGCTCCTGGTCACATCTTCGCTAGGCGGTGGCATGGTAAGGATAAGGAGCCAAATCAATACACGCCTGCCCCGTAGCGGGTGCGAGAAAGACCTGAAACGGCTGTGAGCCAACAGATGTATATGATGGCGTGAATGTGTTTTCTGCTTCGGTGGCGAAGCTTGCACCGAGGGGTCCCTGCTTGCTCTTAACGAGAGCAACCCAAGAAGGCTCGTTCTTTGCTGGGCCGCGGCTAGCCTTGACTCGCATACGTGCGCGGGCTGCCCCACCCCCACCTGCAAGAGACTCACAACCACCCCTGCCCCCAGAACCCCTGCAGGACGAAGCGGAGCGCCCAGCACCGCTCCCACGCCGCCCGACCGACGACGACGCAGGGCCCATTACGTGCGCAACCGCTCGCTGCAGTGCTGGAAAACCTGCCGGACGCCACTGGGCGGCCTCTGGCCACAAGTGGTTGAGCGAGCTCGTTCTTCCAACCCCCTCCTTCCCCTCCTCGGAGGGGCTTACGGCCAGGCACTTCGGTTCAGCGTGTCGCGCCAGTGGCCCCCGCGACACGCTGCCGCTTGCAAGCTGATGGCGAGTCGCTCTGCTGCGTGGGACGGGAGGCTGGGAAAAACTCCGGACGTTGATGCTTCAGGACTGGGACGTGCTCAGCGTGTCGCGCCGAGGAGTGGTGGGCCAGAACTGGTGGTGCGGCACGCTGGGGAAACGCTCCTGACAGTATCACTGCTCGATAGTAGCCACATGCCCTCAACCCTCCTTCCGTCCGCCAAGCAGGAACCATGAGCACCCCTCCCGCCATCCCTGTCAAAAAATATTCCGACGGAGTGACCTCGCATGATCAATCTCTCAGTGCTCACGAGAGCCATCATCATTGACGGCTAACGATGTTCTGTCATGATGCCAGGATACCATGATGCGACCTGTGCAAGACCTGTGGGGCCCGTGGGGCTTTTGAGACTTGCAGGGCTTGTGGGACCTGTGCAACATGTGCGACCTTGCGGGGCCTGTGCGACCTGTGACACCTGTGCGACCTGGGACACCTCTGGGCCCTGTGGGACCTGTGGGGCCATTGGGGCCCCTGGAACTTGTGGAACCTGTGGGGACTGTGGGACCTGTGCGGCCTGTGGAACCTGTGGAAATTGCGAACCCTGTAGGACGCGTCGGACCTGTGGGACCCCTGCGGGGCCTGTAGGACGCGTGGGGCATGTGAGACTTGTGGAGCCTGTGGCACCTGTGGGACCCGTGGGACCTGTGCGGGACCAGTGGGACCTGTGAGACCTCTGAGACTTGTGAAGCCTGTGTGCCCTGTAAGGAATTTTCGTATGCCGTGCGCCTCCTGCTAATAGCGCGCGTGCGGATCGCCTCAGCCGCCCTGCGGCGGAAACAAAATGTTACTTGTGGGGCCTTTGGGACCCGTGGGCCCTGTGGGAACAATTGAGCCTGTGCTACCTGTGGGAACCGTGGGCCCTGGAGTCTTGCGTAACCCGTTGGACCTGTGGGACCTGTGCGCCCCCGGCTCCCGCTTGAGCCTTCCTCGCGGCCCACTCACAGCCGAAACCTTCCCCACGATGTGCCCCACCTTGGGGCGCTCTCAAGTACTATGGCTCGTACAGTGAGCCGATAACCCGCTCGGATTCCAACATGGGGGCGGGGACCCCACAGGGAGAGGGCTCCCGATCAAAACTTCCTGGCGACTCGCTCACAAGCCAGGCTCCCGCTCAAGAAATCCTCCAGATTCAAGCCTGAGGATCTTAAAAGTGGCGACACATGCAAACATTGGATGACTCCGCTCGTAATTCGAGCATGGAAACGGAGGCACCTTTGGGAGAGGGATCCCGCGGGAGATCCCCTCGAGATGCACTCGCAGACCAGGCTCCCGCTCGAGACGTCCTCAGGGGTCACGACGGAGGAACTCAAACATGACGACAGGTACACCTGGCCATCGCTCGGACGTTCATTCCCTGTGCTTGTTGTCAGTTTCGTGCGTGGCTGTTTCGCCAAATGGTCAAGGATGCTCCTCGATGGTCCTCGCCGGAAGAAAAATGCACACGTCCGAGCGATGCCAGGGTACACGGTTTGGACGACACCGCTCGGGTTCAAGCATGGAGGTGGGGACACCATGGGGAGAGGGATCCCGATCGAGGCCTCCCTGCGATGCTCTCACAGACCAGGCTCCTGCTCGAGCCTTCCTCCAAGTTCAAGGCTGAGGAGCCCAAAATGCGGCGTCAAATGCACGGTTTTAATGACATCGCTCGGATTCCAACATGGAGGTGGGGACACCATAGGGAGAGGACTCCAGATCGAGACCTCCGTGCGATGCACTCACAGACGAGGCTCCCACTCAAGAGATCCTCCAGATTCAGGCCCAAGGAACCCCAATGTAGCGGGTGCAAACGTTGGATGACCCCGCTCGGATTCGAACATGGAAATGGAGACTCGATAAGGGAAGGACTCCCGCTTCACAGTTTCTCGCGATCCACTTACAGACCAAGCTCCCGCTCGAGGCTTCCTCCAGATCCAAACATCAAAAAGCAGCCCAAACGTGACGACAGGTACAGAGTTTGGATGACCCCGCTCGGATTCGAACATGGAAATGGAGACTCCATAAGGACAGGACTCTTGCTTCAGTCTCTCTCGCGATCTACTCTCGAATGAAGCTTCCGCCCGAGACTTCCCCCGATACTCAAACCTTAGGAGCCCACAAATGACGACAGGCACACAGTTTTGATGATCCCACTCGGATTCGAACATCGAGTTGGAGACTCCATAAGGGAATGGCTTCCACTCGAGACCTCCTTGCGATTCGTCCGTAAGCCAGGATCCCGCTCGAGATATCCTCCAAATCCAGGGCTGAGGAGCCCGAACATGATGACAGGTACCAGGTTTGGACGGCCCCGCTCGGATTCGAGCATGGAAGTGCGGACCCCCTAGGGAGAGGCTCTGGCTCGAGACTTCCTCACGATTGACTCAAACTTGACGCTCCCGCTCGACAATTCCTCAAGATATGTGTGCGAATGCGTGCGTGTGTGATTGACAGTGAGGTAACGATCGCAGTGGCGGTCGGTGATCATGGTGGGACAGTGACAATAAAGATGGTCGTGTGATCGTGATGGTGAGTGTGCAAGGAGATTGGGAGGAGAGCGGGGTGAGGTGAGGAGATGAGGGGGCGAGGCTCCTGAGGTGTGTGTGTGTGTGTGCGTTTGCAAAGCAAACAAGGAACCCACTCGGAGGTGGTGAAATACGAAATTGACATGCCGGCACAATCTGGATCGTGAGCCACACATTGCATTGGCTTCTGGACAGGAATGCCGGGGCGGTAAGCATGCCTGCCCGCAGTGAGCTGCTTCAGAATCCCTGTCAAAAGCCACTGTCCATCTACTGAGGGAGCACCCACCATACGCCATACTGACCACCACGCCACCGTTTCGCAGTGGCAGTTGACGCAGATAGTTGTGGACCCTCGCGAAGGCACGTTGAATCGAAGGCGAAGGTATCTCTGGAGCGCGCCTTACATTTGAATGCAACGCTCAAGCCTACCACTGTCTCAGCGTACGCAACAGCACCCGCCCTTATAATCACAAGACGGCTCGCCGCATGGGCCCCACCGGCAGCCCACACGGCGAGCATGCATCGGGCGTGGCCCTAAAATCCTACAAGGGGAGTGCGCCACGCATGTGGCGCGCGAGGAGATGCGCGGATTACATCATAGGTTGCGTCATCCATGGGTTGCGCCATCCCTGTTGTACACCACAGGATGCTCAACCGTGGGGTTGCGCCATCCACGGGTTCGTCCATGGGTTGCACCATCCACTGATTGCGCCATGCTCCATTCATGGCTTGAGGCAGAAATTTAGCACCCGTCAGCCGAGAGGGAAACGACGTGCTATTTGTTCTGCCACTGGTTGCGCACTCAGCGGCCGAGAGCGGAGCTGCTTGCAATCGTCTTCGCCATGGATTGCGCACTGGGCGGCCGGGGGTAGAGCGGCCTGTTGATGGTTGCGCCTCACGCTGCGCACTCGGCAGCCAGGAGTAGAACGGCCTGCTGATGGTTGCGCCATAGGTTGTGCACTCGACGGCCGAGGATCAAGCGGGCTGCTATTGGCTGCGCAATAGGTCGCGCACTCGGTGACCGAGAATAGAACGGCCTGCCATTGATTGAAGCACATGCTGCGCACTGGCCTGCCGACAGAAACCTGCCAGAGGTTGGTTGCGCCAGAAGTGGCGCAATCGTCGCCCGAAACAAGAAGAGCCGTCCAAAGGATGCGACCAGGCCAATCCAATTCACACCGCGACAGTACATTCGGGATACGCCAGAAAGCACATGAAACCCGATGCGCTGCCTGGCAGCCGAGCCTGGAGTGTTTTCTGTTTCGAAAGTGTCATCTTGCAGAGGACGGGGGGAGAGGAGAGAGATGACAGCGCAGGCGACTGACCGGTGAACAGCTCAAATCGGGGATCAGCAGACAGCCCTGCCGAATGCCCGTCTTCCCCCTTGCCCTCCCGAGCGGGGCGAGGCTGCAAGCACCGAGCAGAAAGAAGCGAAGGAACTGGACGCCGCGCGTGCGCACACCCACTCGGACTCGCCAGCGGCACTCGCTCAACTGCCTTCGCGAGCAGCATAGAACAACTTCTTTGTCGCAACGATGGCGATCGCGCGCCGCGTCCGTAGTCTGATCGCCCTCCCTGCTATATCAATTGGGCATAGAAAGACATGAGTAAAAACACGCGGAAACATGGCATCGCGAACACGCAGAGACTGGAGATGGCTGGTGGAACCCTGAAACGCTGCCAGTGAGGCAGCACTGTCGCTACCGCATAGCAGCGCGGTAAACTCCAACGGCCACTCAATATGTCGATCCGCCGATCTCGGCTGCCCCCGGCCCGAAGTACCTACGGACAGCCAACGGCTTCGATCGACTGCTGACACTCCGAAACGAGAAGTGTGAGTGGGAGGTGGTCTATAATGTGGAGTATGCGTTGGACGACGACAATCTCCAGGACCATCCAAAAATCTCTTGCACGGCGACGGCGACGGCGACAGCGATGACGACGACGATGACGACAATGAGGACGGCGATGACGACGACGGCGACGACGACAAGACGTGGACAACGTCGACGAGAACGACATCTTTGACCACGCCGACGACGGCGGCGGCCCCCCCCGACATCCGACGATATGTTCCCGCCGATCCGCTGCCCCAGGAGGTCCCGACCCACTCCCCCGGCCAAGTTTCGGCGGCGAGCGGGCGGGGGAAGTGAGCAGGGAAAGGCCTTCTTAGAAGGTTTGGCAGCCCCCCCCCGGCCTTCTGAGAAGTTCCCTGAGCCTTCCCCGAAGACAAACACCAGCTTCTCGGACGGCGCGAGGGCTTCTGAGAAGTCCCGCCGCCTTCTGTGAGGAGGGCCTTCTCTAGAAACCAAAAAAAAACACCCCGATCATAATCACCCCGACACGCGAAGCCGTTCAGCAAACGCGCCCAAGGAAGGGATCACACAGGGCAGGGCTGTTCAGTAAACGCCCAGGGCCGCATAGTAGACGTTAATTGTCCGTTCTGGGTGTTTCTTTTTCCCTTGATCCTCCTTCTCACTTCCCGCCCCCTCTTTGGACGCCCGAAGTGGGCACGGAAAGAATGAGTACAATGCCCAACAGTAAATGTTGTCCCCAACCAACTGCGGCCGCTGTTGGGCAGGCGGCCTTCTGTCTCAAATGAACACAGGCCGCGGCGGCGTGGACAGCGAATCCGGTTCAAAATGAACAGGAACTGCTGTTGGGCATTGTACCCATTCTTTCCGTGCCCATGTCGGGCGTCCAGACCCTCGCTCGCCGCCGAAATTTCCAGTTCGGACCCCTTCCTGAGGGCACCCCCTGGGCCCGACGCCGGCACCCAGGGGCCGGAATATGCACACAGCAGTAAACACGCGTCGACCACAGGAAGGCACGGACGACGGCGCCGACGACAATGACGACGACGACGACGACGACGACGACGACTACGACGACATCGACGACGCGATGACGACGACGACAAAAACGACGACGACGGCTCGTTCGGTTGAGAAATGATGCCGTCGGATATCTGGGCCGACGACGACGGCGATGACGACGATGACACCGACGAGTAACTACGACGGGGACGCCCACGGCCACGACGACGGCGGCGGCGACGAAACCGACGACGGCGGCAGCGGCACCGACGGCGGCGACGACCTCGACGACGCCCGCGCCTCCGGGTGGTCCTCGTCTGCCTCCAGGCAGGCCCGCAGGGACGCCTCCCGCAGTGCCTCCACCTCGTCCCGCAGCGCGGCCGCGGGGGCGAGGAGCCTCGCCTGGCACGTCGCGGGGGAGCGGTCACCGAGCTGCGCCGCCGCCAAGAAGCCTCTCACGAGGGGCCCCAGACTTTCTCAACGCAGATCCTTGGATGATTGACCAACACATGACCCCGAAACCCTCTGGGAGGGGACCTGAGCTGGGAGGGCCAAGAGCACTAGGGACAGGGGCTCTGGTCCGCAGATGTATGGGGCCAGATCGCCCAGAACTGCGATCCCTAATGCGAAGACGGGGACCTTAGCGAGGACACGTCTTCGCTCTTGTCCGCAGATGTATAGAACCAGATCGCCCAGAACTGCGATCCCGAATGCGAAGACGGGGACCTCAGCGAGGACACGTCTTCGCTGTGGTCTTAGGGCTAGGGGCTCTGTAATCTTCAATGATTGGACACAGATTTTGTTTGGTCGCGATCAGTAGCGACCGATCAGCACTCCAAATCGGTTGCGGCCGATCGCGACCGATCCCCAAATCGGTCGCGACCGGTCGCCACCGATGGCGGCCGATTGGTCGCGACCAATGGGTCGCGACCGATTGCGAGGCAACTCGGTCGCGACCGTCACACAAGTTGAAGGGAAATCGATAGCGACCGATCTCGTCGGTCGCGACTGGGAACTTTCACGGGAAGGTCAAACCCTCTCATAGGTTGCGACAAGCCGTTCCATAGGGGGCCCAAACCCCACTCACAGCGGGACACCAAATCCATGTTCACAGGGTGTCCACAACCGTCTTGCAGGGGCCCCAAACCCTCTCACAGATGGCCCAGAGACCTCGCACAGTGAGCCCCAAAGCCTTCCACAGGGGGCCTTACACAGTCTCGCAGGGTTCCCAAAACCCGCTCGCAGGTGGCCACAAACCCTCACACATGGGGGCAAACCCTGTCATAGGGACTCAAGCCCGTCTCACAGGAATCCCATCAACCTCTCACAGGGGGTCCATAACCAACCCACAGGGGGCTCTAAACCCTCTCACAAGGTGCCCAAAAACCTTGCAACAGTGGGCGACACCCTGTCACAGGGGGGCCCAAACCCTTTCCCATGGAGCCCCAAACCCTCTGACAGGGGGGCCCAGACTCGTTCTTTCACAGGGGGGCCCACACTCTCCCCCAGGGTCTCCGAAACAATTCCACAGGGAACCCAACAACCAAATCACAAGGGGCCCAAACCCTGCTCACAGGGCTCCCAACACCGTCTCACTCGGGGCCCAGAACTTTCACAGAGGGCCCGAAACTCTTTCGCAATGAGGCCCGAACCCCTTTTTCACAGGGGGCCGGCACCCTTCTCACAGAAGACCCACAACTTTTCCACAGGGGGACCCAAACATATTCACGAGGGGCTTCAAACCTCTCACAGGGGGCATCGAACCAGTCACTACTACGAATCACGCCCTCCTAAGAAGAGCTGTCGTACGAACAACACACCTTTTCGTACGAACAGCTGTCATACGAACAGCTGTCATACGAACGGCCCTCTCGTATCACAACGACCCATCCTTGCCATACAAACGATTCACGGAAGCGGAAGCACAAACAACTTTGTCGTCGTCACCGCCGCCGCTGGCTTCCGTCATTGTCGTCAGTCGTCGTCGCTCCCACGGCCTCATCTCGTGTTCTGGAAGATACCGAGCACTTCTGGAGGGTCTCTTGTAGCTCGAGAAACGTGCCAGTGTGAGTCCCTGGAGGGCTGTAACCACAAAATTTTGAGCCGTCGTCGTCGTCGGCCTCACCGTCGCCGCCTCCCCCGCCCTCGCCGACTCGCAGTCTCGGGATTTTTGCTGAGCGGTGGGTGTCCCCTGAGTTCCTGGCGGTGCCTTTTCACACCAGGCGTTTTCTCACGGTTTCGGGCCCTGGGCTTCTCGCGGATCGGTCCCGCTCGAAGGATGCCGAAGGAAAACGGAGTCTAAGTCTTCGGTCGTGATACTTCGCGATGTTGCAATGTGGTCGCATCTTATAGCGAGGCAACATCAGACCAGTAAAACGTACCCAGGCAAATGAGGCCAGTAATCCGTACCCAGGGGTGGAGTGTCGCCCATGGAGACATGTTATGTAGAGCCACTGATTATTTACCTGCGCTTTATCACGTTAGTGGATGCATGTTGCAATTACAGCCGCGCGCGATATGGATACGTGGGCGCGCAGCTAGCGCCCGAGCCACCGCAGCCGCCGCCAAAGAAGGCCGCGCCGCGGCCGCTGCGGTCAGCGCTGCGCGTATCGGCGAGAAGCCAGGCGCAGGCCCGTTCGGGCGTCCAACGTGGGAGATTTGAAAATCTCGTTGTCTTCTCTCCTCCCTCCCTTCTCCTTCCCTGCTCCGTGTTCCGTCCTCCGTCCTCCCTCCTTCGCCCTTCCCCCTCCCTCCCTCCTCCCCGCCGTTCTCCTCCCCCCCCCCCTCCCCCTCGTCCTCCCTCTACCTTCCTGGGGGGCCCGCGAAGTTCGAAGCTCGAAGTTCGAAGTTCAAAGTTCGAACTTCGAATCCCGACGTCCGAAGTCCGAAATTCGAAGTTCGAAGTCCGAAGTTCCGAGATCCGCTAGGGCATTCTGAACGTCCACATGGGCTCCGATACGGGGCCCGCGGAGTCGTTCAAAAGCGCCACGACGGAGCCGTGCACGCACCTCAACGACAACAAGTGGCTGTACAGGGTCCTTCGGCGCGGCGAAAAGCCAGTGGCGCTGCGCCAACCAAAGGACTTCGGCTGCTTCAGCCACGACGAGTTCCGCGCCCTCCTGCTTCAGTCGGTCGCCTTCGGCAACGACCCCGCGCAGCCGTCGTGCTTCCTGCACGCGACGATGCGCTTGCCGAAGGCTTGGTCCCTTCGCAACGAGCGGGCCCACTTGTACTCCAACTGGTTGGTCCGTTTCCCGATGGAGATGGACGGTGTCACGGTCGTTGACCTGACGAGCTACCGTTCGGCAGGCAAGTACCTCAACGACGCCGCAGGCGACAGCGCGTACATCCGCCAGTGCCTTCAGGTGGTGCGCGGCTACGCGGCCAAGGACCAGGAGGTCGTTCTTTTGCAGCGCCCCCCGCTCGAGCTCATCGAGTGGTGGTCCGAGGCGGAGGGCCGCTGGCGGCCCGCCACGGACCTCGTCGACGCAGGGCGCGACCCACGGGGTTCGCCGCCCAGGAGGCCGCTCCGCCTCCTCCAGGGGCGTCTTCCAAGAGCCCTGCTCCCCGCCAAACGGCGACAAGCCAGGCGCAGGCCCGCGTGGGCATCCAATATGGCAGATCCGACAACCTCATTGACTTCCCCCTCTCCCTCCCTTCTCCTTCCCTGTTCCCTGTTCCGCCCTCCGTCCTTCTGTTCCGCTCCTCCCTCCTCCCTCACTCCTCCCTCATTCTCTTCTCCATCCCACCTCTCTCTCTCTCTCTCTGTCTCTCTCTCTCTCTCTCTCCTCCTCCACCCCGCCCAGGGGACCTGCGACGTTCGAAGTTCGAAGTCCGAAGGTCGAAGTTCGAAGTTCGAAGTTCGAAGTCCGAAGTTCAAAGTTCGAAGTTCGACGTTCGAAGTTCGAAGTCCGAAGTTTGAAGTCCGAATTCGAAGCTCGAAGTCCGAAGTCCGAATTTCGAAGTCCGAAGTCCGAAGTTCGATGATGAGGGCGACCACGACCACGACGGTGACGACGGCGACGACGACGACGACGACGGCGACGAAGGCGGCGACGACGACGACGACGACCACGACCACGACGACGACGAAGGCGCCGCCACCTGGACCGCGAGCGGTCTCGACAGCGGACCGCGAGCGCTCGGGGAGTCGCCGCGTGAAGGCGCGCGGGGTGGAGGTCGTCTCCGCCATGCCGAGCAGGCCCCCGCCAGGCTCGCCCGAGGCAGAGGCGCAGGCACGATGGTCGTTGGGCAATTTTTGGGAAGGTCGGGTGGGGGACGGGTGATTTTTTGGAGTTCACTGGCGGAGCGAATCCCCGTGGACCCCTGGGCCCAGAGCGCGAGAGGGGGGGGCGGCGAGAAGCCTGGAGGGGGGGCGGCGAAAAGCCTGGATGCACTCCAAAGTTTTCAAGGGGGCCCCAGCCAGGCCAAAGGCGCTCCAGCCGCAGCGGCGCGACAGCCCACGCCGCCGCCCGCCAAGGCCGGCCAGCAGCGCCCGCCCTCGGTGGCGCCGCCTCCGCTTCAGGGACCGCCTCCGCCGCAGGCGCGGGCCCGCAGGCACTCCCGAGAGCGCGCCGCTGGCCCCGAGAGCCCGAGCGCGGGGCACGCGCCTTTCCTCCACCTGAGCGCGAAGCACCCGCCGGCGGGGGCCAGGCCGAAAAGCCTGCCACCCCCCAAGGCGCTGCCAGCGGCGGCGACAAGCCAGCAGCCCCAGGAGCAGCAGGGGCTGGGCGACCAGGGACGCGGGCACGACGACGCCCTGGCCGACGCCTCCTTCGACGAGGTGTTCGCCGCGCAGGAGGCGCTCGCGCGAGCTCTGAAGCGCCGCGCCGCGGAGGCCCTCGGCGCCGACAAGGACACGTCGGAGGCGAAGCGCCGCGAGGTCGAGGAGGCAGCGGGGCTCATGGAGCGCGCGCAGAGGCCTCTGCAGCAGGCTGCCGAAGCTGTGCTGCCCAGCGCGGGCGCGGAGGAGCTGACCGAGGAAGCGGCGACCGAGCCTGCTCAGGAGGCCCAGGCGGATCATCAGGAGGAGGGCGGGGGATGAAGGAGAAGAAGGAGGGATGGGGGGGAAGGAGCGTGAGGGGAATCCGATTGGAAGGCGTCCGGCCGCCAAACCGCCTTGGCTGCCGCCGCCCGCCCCGACCTGCACGGGGTCGACGTAGCTGCTGAGGGCGCGGCGCCAAGCCAGCAGCAGGAGCGCCGCCAGCAGCACGCGAGTGCCTCCTCCAGCAGCTCCGCCAGCGGCTCGCCCCCAGCAGCTCCTCCAGCAGCTCCGCCAGCGGCGGAAGACAGCCCGCAGGGGGCTCCAGCAGCCGCAGGGGCGCGGGAGGCGCCGCAGCCCGAGGAACCGACGCGGCGCGAGTACGGCAGGGAACTGTTCGCCTTCTCGGAGTTCGTCCGCG